TAGACTCGACAATCAAGGTAATTTGTTGGTTGCCGATCAGTTAAATAGCCGCATACAATTGTTCACGTGCATCCAAACTTAAGCTTCGTCGAACTCGATAAAACTTTGAACATGTTTCTTTCTTTTATTTTTACTCATGCATTCATACTTTAGAAATAACTTGCTTTTAGTTTTCATATCTATTCGCATAGAAGCCATAACTGATTTCTATCGTAGTTTTTTCGCAAATTATCTTTATACTAATTTTTTTTTCTCAATAAAACATATATATTTTGGGGTGTGGGTATATTAATCGAAAACACATCGATTTAGCTCTTGAAGAAAAGTCAAATTCAATCTGCTAATCTCAAATTTTGCTTTTCAACAATCGATTAAATCGAAAATTAAATAACAATAGAATGATAAATTCATTTGCTTTGTTAAGAAGTATTAAAGAAAGAAATGTAGAGTTCAATTTGCCAAAGTATTTTGTATTATTTTATTCAAATATAAATACTCATTAAGACTATGTAACAATTTCAAGTACAACAATACAGACAAATGAAAGAACACTTATGAAGATTTGTTAGTTTAATATATTAAAATTTCAATAATTTTGATTTGTTTGACTAGCTTTTGATGCTAGTCGTTTTAGAACGCTATCTAATATTAACTGATATAAAAATATCACATTTTTGGTCGGATTATATGAATAAAAACATTCAAGATTTCAATTGGATAGTATTTTAATCAGTACGTTTCATTGAATCAAGAATAAATATTTGTTTGATATTGAAACAAATCATATTTAATACACGAATAACGAGGGCGTGTGGGTGTGGGGTGTAGGTCAGTTAAGAGAAGATCCACACCCACACCCATTTAGGGAGTCCTTGTGCTTTCAGTTCTTTGTAACCTGTTGCCCAGACTCTTGTTGGTTCGAAATGGTTTTTAGGAATATTTATTAATTGTGTTAGCCTATTTGTATTCTATTGAAACTGTCTCTTGTGCTTTCCATTGAACACAAATGTTGATGGGACCTCATTATTTGTTTTCATATGATTGAACAGTTGACGTTTTAAATTGACATAAAAATAATCTTGATCTGAATAGCAAGTCAATTCGGTAATGAGTTCAAAATGTCGACGTGTTGATAGATCTACATTTGGATACATAGCTATCTCTCCGTCATTCTTCATAGGTACATCGTCAATCGATGAATACTCATGCATATCAAATACATAGACCTGCCGTGCTAGGGCGGTCCATCGCACATCAGCCGGATCCAAACGTGAACAGGTGAAGTTTCGAGCGAGAAGAGCTGACATGAAACGACCATTTGGTAGAAGGTCGTAGGAGATCTGTTCAGCAGTCACTGTTCTATTGAAAGCTGTGTCATACTTTCGAGTCTCTATTGTTTTGCCAGCCGAAAATAACTCTGGAAGGTTATCATTTGCTGAAATCTGTTGTTGTGTAAATAATGGTGGTGGTGGCGCTGCTGGCAACGAAGGAAGAGTGGGCAAGTCGATGAATGTTGCTAATGGGTTCAGATAAAGTGAAGTGTTCATGGAAAATGGAGATGGCCAAAAAGCAGGAAACATGGCATTGGAAATGGCGACCCGAATGCGATGACCCTGGAGGAAAGTCCATGTGGTAAAGTGAAGCTGCAATCTGATTGTATATACATGATTCGGTTCGAGATAGGCCAGAGGTGTTTCTCGTTGAGCTCCATTAAGAGCAGCACCAGTTACCAACCATACTTGACCATTGATGTCGACGTCTTCCAGACGCACTATCCAGTGAGCTAGAGGGGCAGTAGCACTGACCTACAATTATACAAACAATTGATGAAGATTGTGTATGGTTTTTTCTAAGCGTTCGATCAATTCTGAATGATATTATTGTACCTTACCTGAAGCGATGCTTCGACAAATCCAGCTATTTCCATGCTTTCGCTAATTGGATCACTATCGTAAATGAGACAATGTTCGTCGAACGGACGTTGATCCCTAAGTGAGGAACCCCACCAGTCTTCGGCTTCGAATCCAATCCATGGTTGATATTCGAGAGTGTCCACATCAATAGTACCTTCCTTCTTTTCCTCGACTTTTTCCACTAGTCTTTGTCTACTATACATGAACATTCGACGTATCCGTTGCCGAGCAATTGGCCATTTAGGTTCGTATCGATAGTTGCCCGTAGTAAGACTCGTTCGCATAAATAGAGTGATATCCGGTTCGTCTAGAATGTCGCTGTACTGATCATCATCTTTAAGCCAATAATTAAACCATCGAACTAGCTCAGCTTTGCCATCGTAACCTGGGCCAGGATTACGATAAGAATATTCAGGCATGGCATGAGCAAACGGACCAATGACAACTTTGATCTTCGATGATGATCGACGAGCATTTTCATAAATATTAATTGCAAAATCTCGATAGCTAGATTGTTGAATAGAAGAAACATGAATTTTTTCACGCGAAACACGTCAAACTCACCTGTCATAAATTCCGGCGAGTAGATAAGCAGGCACAGTGAAGTTATCATAGGCATATTTAATCGAATGTTCCCTCCAAAATGCGCTGTCGAGTTGATGTTCAAGATAAACATCAATCCAGGGTCTCGTTGTGAAACGTTCCTTCATCCACTGTTCATTCATTATATAGTCAGGTGTGGCCGGTAAGGCATTTTCATGGTCGACAGAAAGTATATACTCGTCCTGATGAAGAATTCCATCCATAAAATGAATATCGTTTTTGTACAAATCTTCTGAGCCATGTGCTGCAAATATAGCGCGAAGAGCAGGTGGTCGTCGTAAGGTGGCCATCATGAGAGAGTTGAATGCTGACCAACTCAAACCGTGCATTCCTACGCGACCATTCGAGCGAGGATCAACAGCAAGTTGTTCAATAACACGTTCACAGTCGTCCAATTCTTGTGATGTGTACTCTCGTTCGATAAGAATACCTTCAGATGAACCTGTGCCACGAATATCTACTTTGGCTACCTAAGAACAGATATCTAAATAGAATGATTTTGTTTATTATTATCTAACTCACGATAAAACCTCGTCGTACTAAATAGTAATTATTTGGTTGATTATAATTGTAGAAATCGTCATCTTTTCTGTATGGTTTGTATTCAAGTAAAACTGGAAATTTCTCATCGGTCTGTTTCGGAATGGGTATAGTGAGTGTAGCAGACAATCGAACACCGTCTGGCATTGAGAGCCATACGTTTTCAGTTGTAAACGAATACATTACAGCAAATGCAGGAATCAATGGTGGTGATCTATAACATATAAATAGGGCGAGAAACAGCTTAATAGTGCAAATCATCTAATTGTTGATTAAGAAGATAAAATTGATTGTGTTTTCGCTTCTTTCGAGAGCTGCAATTTGATATGCTGTTTTATTTTGTCAATTGG